TAATCAAAGGTAACATTTGGTACACAGAATCCCTCAATTTTAGTATGGCTGGAAATACACTTTCTTTTTGCAATCTAACTTTGGCAGTGACTTTAGTACACAGAAAAAGAAAGGACTGAAAAGGAGAAAACCAAATTTCACACATGTATGATTTTGTCAAAATGAACCCAACTACTAATGATTAGTCATAATGCTCTAATTTAAATTTTTTAAAAAAAGTTTTAAAAAAAGAAAGAAGAAATATTTTTAAAAAGAAAGAAATTTTTTTAATCCCACTGGACTTCCTCTCCCCAATCAAGGATGGAGGGGTTTAGGAAACAGATGGTTGGAGAACCTGACCCCACCATCGTGTTCTGAGGGGTATCAGCCTGGAATTCCAGCTGGGGAGGCCAAAGTTGAGCCTTCCACATGGAGGCTAGAGAGACCGCCCATCTCTCCATGATGTTGCAGATGGCACCATATTTCAGAGCACATTTATAGATGAAAACCATCTCTGGGAACTGAAGGTTCACTCCCAGCACTAGGTTTCTTACTGAAGAGCCATTGGAAACAGCAAGCAAACTATGACAGGCAGGTTCTGCAGGGGAGTCAAAGTCACTAAATTAATCTCCATGTGCAGATTGTAGCTGAATGGTAACTTGAGACAAACCCATAGCCTGGGGTGAGCTTAATGCCAATGCTGTTATCCAGAAGAAGGCCTGAAATCAGGAGCTCTGCATGGCCACAGGGTAGACAGAGGCCCATGGCTGCAATATGTTGGACAGCAGCATTTTATTTCATGAAATATTTGCTGTTACTACCTCAAACCAAAAATGTGCGCAGCTAAAGCCTGTGATATTGTGGACACCCACGGGAAGTGTACAGATTTCAGCCCAACATGACAGCTATTGGGCCATATTTTATCAGTACCAGGATGAGGGGGAATAAAAGCCCAGATGCTGGACATCATGGGCACAGCTGCTGTGCTTTCTGCAGGAGGGCTTAGTCCACATCTTCTCGAATCCTCAGATGAACCACAATTAGTCTCCCTCCTGAGAGAGCTCATTAGTTTCTCTCTATTTTCCAGCATCCTCCCTAAATATGCTTCCTCTTGGGAAGAGGACAGGGATCATGGCAGGAGTCAGTGAAAGCTTTGCATTTCCAGCAGAGGATGAAATGTGACTCCAGGAGAAGAGATGTCCCACACTGGCTAGAGGCAAAGGGGAAAGGGGGAGGGAATCCTGGGAGTCTTCGGGTGCTACAGATGAAATTCAAGGGGGTGCCCGTTTATCAGACACAAGGGTTGGGTAGCTGTTCAACACAGATCGTTGTTCCTTTGCCTGCTTTCACTCTTGCCCGAAAAGAAACTGGACCCCAAATAATTTAATGTAAAACTTGTAAATCATACCCAAATCCACCATCTTGAAGGAGTATATTTTTTACCCTTGTAGGGCATCAATTTCTCTTTAGTTTGGACAATAAATAGGACCATAAAATGAAATAAATCAGAGAAGTAAAGATTCATAAGCATTTGAATTGTCAAGCTGAGAGGAGCAGTTACCGCACATTCTCAGGTGTATTTAATTAGCTAAGGCATTTTCAGGAGGTTTTCCTATGCAAACACAGTGAAGTGATCACTACAGGTAAGGATGTCACACACCCAGCAACATCCCCAGTCCCTTTGTCCCTGGTGATCTTTTTTTTTCTAAGACAATGCAAATAATTGGTATTTAACTGGAGACCCTGCACTGGGAGCTCAGCTGATTTGGCCAAGGCTGTTGGCCAGGGCCGCTGAGGTAACAAGAGGCTGCTCTAGCAATGAAGTTCCTGCTGCATGTCACACACTCACAGAAAACATGGAGGAGACAATGTGGCACAGCTGGGCCCAGGTTCCCTGGAAGGAATGGATGGAACTGGGCAGTGGGACCAAGCAGCCTTTAGCCATGGGTCCCCAGTTGTCCCAACCCTGGCGGAGCTCATCATCCCTGCTGTCCTCCAGTTTTGCTGGCTCAGGGGACCTCTACCCCAGAGAATTTCCCTCCAGTGCTTGTGAGGGAGCCATCTGAAAAAGGATTGTGTTCCCTCCCCCCACCCTCATTTTACAAAAGTGCTCAATGAATTCTCCAGTTTCTAAAACTGGCTTTCATTCTCCTTTTTTCGAAGCCTGAATTTCTCCTCAAGGCCTCTGTTAAAACGAGAGGGGAATAAAAACTTTTTAGTTTTCCATGAGAAGTTTTGCTGCAATACAGATCCAGATGTTTTCAATTATTTTTGTTTCATATCATCATAAAGAACCAAAGCTCAATGATCATCCTCTGGGGAGTGGGGGTTGATGCTGAAGCCATAAATATTGCCCCTTGGGTCCCACATGAGACCCCCTGGGGCGGGGTCCCATGATGCAGGGAAAGCAGCTCACTTTTAATTGTCTTTAGAACTGTTTCTTCTGGAGTGTCAATTTAGAACAAGCTTGTTGATCAGGTTCCACGGAGCCAAATACTTCACAATCCAACAAAAACAACTTTCTGAAATAATAATGAGATTTTTTGAAAGAGGAGATTGGTTACAAAGCACCTGTGAGCCAGTGCCAACTGCTCAGGGACAGTGCAATGGTGTCACAGGAGGCGTCCCCCGAGGCAAAACACATTTTTGTGGAGAATGTGAGTTCAGGCCCTTCCTGTTTCTTAGGTTGAATGTTCAGTTAAAGCCCGTGGCTCCTGCTGGATCATCTTGGGTCTCCTTCCTCCCTCTGTCTTCCCTTTCTGTCTTCCATCAGACATTTTATTTCCATAGTTCCTCATGTTAGAAAATGAAGATAGTGTGTGGTCCTGCATTTTAAAAGTGAATCTGTTAGTTCCCTTTCTTTTGCAAGGGATAAAAACAAGTGCATATGATTTAGACAAATAAAAAAAAAAAGACCCTTTTTAGCTCATCCCTGGGAACATCTGTTGGAAGCTCCCACAGAAGGCAGAATTGTGAACAAGATTCCGGGTCTGAGTCTCTGATCTCCCCTTGGCCCTAACAGCACCACCATGGTGGCAACACGGCTATCTGCAGCGTTGGCTCCAATTCTCTCAGGGTTTAGATCTTGTTGAAACCAGGTTTCCCTCTCTCCAGTGACACCCACAAAGTTCTGGGGTTCACTGATCCCAGGATGGTCATGACTGCCCCGTTCCACCTTACTTAGATTTTGAGTTGCTCATGCATACTCATGGACTTGGCTTTATATCAGCTACATAATGTCCAGGATGACATGCTGTTTACCAATCACGGTGCCCATGCTGAGGGCCATGTGGCACAGTGGTGTGTGAAGGATATCAGGAAACTGAACTTCAGAGTTAGATTCTGATATCCTGGCCAGAGGGATGGCCAGGATGACCACACATGGAGAACTCAGGGTCCTCTCCTTTTGCATGGTCAACTAATTAGTAACCTCAATCAAGTTTGCAAATAACTCTTGCTACAGAAAGCAAAACATGGGCAAAGCATAAGGGGCAAAGGTCACGAGGACCCAACCTCTGCCAACCACGAGGAGATTTGGGACATCTTTCCCTCATGTGAAATTTCTGAATATTTAAATTGTTGACAACTGATTCCAATCTATTTGAAAATTTGGGTATCCAAAGGGCCCCCCTCATTGTGGGCTGAACCACACTTTTCAAGTGAGATTCTGTGCATCACTGTCACTGACAGCAGAAGGATCCTGAATTTAAACTCAGCATGGGGGCTGAAAGCTAGCTGGCCTGGGCCATCCCGGGGAGGAGCCCAGTGACGTGGGTGTCTCAGAGGGTCTCTGTTCAGCCCAGGTTCAGGGGCTGGCTGCTGTCCTCACCAGCTTGTGGATCTGTGACATTCTTAGGACTCTTCTCTCTGATAACCAGGAAGGGTGGACAGGGCAGGTGGGCAGGGGGCACATGCTCAGCCCTCAGCGGTCACTCTTACACCCACACATAGGTGGTTGGTAAGATGAGTTCCGAGGCACCAGTGGGGAGACAGGTGGTGCTGTGGAGTCACAAAGGCAACACAGACGCTGGTGGGCACTAGAGAAACTTGGTACAGGGGCATCCAAAGCGATTCAGATGTGCTTTAAGATGGACACATGGTTTAAATTTCTCACAGAAACAACGGGCCACGCTGGCAAGACATCTGATTTCAAAAATCCAGTTTCTAAAACTCTGAATTAAAAAATACTTGGCCAAATTCTATTGTTATGTTATGCCTGGGTATGAATAGGTAATAACAAATCCCACCATTATGTTCAACATTAATGCACCAATAAAAATGGGGAAAAAATATTTGGCCAAATATTCTTACCCACAATAATTTTTTGTTATTGTTGTTGTTTTTTGTTTACTTATTTGTTTTGTTTTTTACCATTTACAAAATGTAATGCAGATTACCCAAGTTGGATTTAAACCCAAGTTCTCAGGAAACTAAAACTTTGTAGAAAAAGGTAACCCCCACAGTGAAAGAAAATGCTGACTGTCCAGGGCAAGGGCACTACTGTGGACACGTGCCTGTCACCCTGCTCTGTGCTGGCCTGAAAGGGAGAATGCAGTTATCTGAAGAGGGGAGTCATCTCCTGGAATACCTTGGATGGACTCTTCTGCCTCTCTGACTAGTGGGCTGGGGGGCAGCTGAGATCTGGCCAGTGCATCTATTCTCTGGAAAGACTTCTTAGGCCAGGTGACAGAGCCTGGTGATGCAGGCAGGATGAGAAGTAGAGGGACAGCTGAGTTTCAGGAGAGAGAACTAGAGAGTGAACGAGGGCACGGGGCAGGTTGTTTCAGGTGTCGCTGGAGTGGACCACTTCCCTCATGCCAGATATGAACTAATTAATGCTCTATTTTGAGACACTCATGCTGTTTCAAGGTTTTTATTTTTGTGGCTACTACAAATCACTGCAGATAACCTTTCTACATACATGTACATATCCCTCTATTTTCTTAATGGAATTCTAAAGAAATCACTTGGTCAAAAAGATATGCTCTCTTATATGTACACAATTGTTTTGAAACTTCATCCTGATATTTGCACTTCTAATAGAAAAAAAGGTTTGGAAAACACATTTACATTTTGTGAAATTATTGGGGAACTGTTCCGTGTAAGTTGAGAGGTACATATTGATTTAATTTATATTCCATCAAACACCATTGAATGTGAACTTTTAAAAATTTACCATTTTGCTCTTTGTGAGTTTGTCGCTTATAGATTGCCTATCCAACACACTTTGTGATTTTATTTCCCTTTTTTTAAAAATTGTGAGGCACATTTTAAATTGCCGAGTTCATATGACCCTGGTTACATGGAGGTCCTCATCAAAAGTGCCACATGCTGACAAAATCATCAGTCAGTCAGGACAGTAGGGTAAGCTGATGCTCAGAGAGGCCCCTGTCCATCAACATAGTACCTGGAGGAGTGAGGAATGGAGCTTAGAATCCTAACTCCAACAGAGGCTTGTTCAGAAGAATGTTTTAGGTCCCTGCAGCTTCTGCTCCTTTGCAGATCCACCACAGTGATGGGCACATGTAGACAGAGCCAGGGAGCAGTAGCGGGTAAAGGCCCTCCCTGTCCTTATAGTGAGGGAGTCAGGGGCATGCATGATGGGGCACAGGATGGGGTTCCATTGGCCAGGGACAGAAAGCCTCACAGTGTTCGGTGACTTGAGCAAGCTCTGATTTCTCCTGGCATCACCTCCTTGAGTTTCCAATGGAGGGAATGGCACCATAGCTGCTCTCCTCCCCTGGATTACCATGGCACCTTAGAATCAGGAGGACTGGGTGAACAATAAAATACCCATGATGGGACTGTCATGCAATTAAGGTCATTAATATAAGTATAAAGGCTGCCCTTAATGTCTCAGCAGATGAGATAATGCATATTTAGTGTTTTGAAAACATAAAAAGTTCTCTGTGTGTGTGTGTGTGTGTGTGTGTGTGTGTG